AAAAAAAAAAAAAAAAAAAAAAACTCTGACAAAATACATTCCCGAGCCTCCTACTATTGCAAGATTCGAAAAAGGTTAAATGCACACAACAAAGACTATTTTTCATTACTATCCGTAATGAAATAATTTTACTGCTTCACCAAGGCTCACTCTCTAACAAGTAGCCTAATAAAACGATGTAAATATGAGAAAAATTATAGGTGAGGCATTTTACATGATGTTATGAATAGCAGTAGGAGCACAAGTTGATTCTCTCTCCCACAGGCATAGCAATCTGAATTCAACCAGCCAACTAAGAGACCATGTGAACTGGTTAGATGGTGGAAAAATAGCACCACCCTCATCATCATCATCATACTTTTTTGTAGGGCACACATATACATATACACAGATATAGATAGATATATACATACAGATATATAGAGAGAGAGGGAGGGTCATGATGATGGAGAAGATGAAGCCAAAATGAGTATTCATTTTCAAAGTAAATGAGCACAGCTGTGGTACTCAATTACATGTGGATAACCAGACAAAAGAGCAGCCTACCCACATTGACTCCTTCAAGTTCCTCATTCCCTGTTGGTTCCTAAAAGCCCAAATTAAATATCCTTTTAGGCTCTTACATGTGAATTTCACATATATAAGACCTAGTTGAACTCATTTGTTTCTCAGTTGCACTTTATTGTACATTGACAAACACTAATGCTTCAGACTTGAAAGACAGAAAAGACATAAAAAAAAGAAGAAGCTAAAGTTGGTGCAAACTTGGCCAATTACAAGTACAATTTAGTTGTACAAGGCCACCATGCAAGAGATCCCATCTGATTGTTTGCTTTATGTTTATGGGAGTACTAGGTATGTAACTGAGAGTGAGAAAGGCATTAAAGTTCCAGTTTATGGTGATATGCTCAGCAGTACATCAAAATCCTTTTACTTTGATCCTTTTTTATGTCAAAGTATAGATACAACTATGTATATGCATTATAAGGAAAAGAAAGTTTGACAATTCCCCACTGCATATTACAAAAGATACTAACAGAACATATTACTCTAGATAGAACACAATATAATTACATGATTTAAGTAGCCGAACCTCAGATAGTCAAGACAAAACTTTGTTGAGTTGTATATAGTAAAAAATATCCCCTCTCCTCAATTACACTCCTTTTTTTATGTCATGCGCCATTGTGGCTCACTACCATCCCATATGATGATATGGCTATGGATTATGTCCTAGGAGGGGAAGTTGGGATGTATATAGGAATATGGGGTTCTAAGCTGTAGAGTGGGTTGAGAAAAGCCATATCAAGAAACCTACAGAATTAAGGCTCTACTCACCGAGGAAGTTCGTTACATAAAAGTACACGACATTAGATACACTTAGTAACCTCAAGTTCAAAAGACGCATGATTACGATAATTTTCTGTCATAAAAAAAAATATATCATCTAGATGAAACTAAACAAAGCAGAAACTTAGTCTTTCCTCTTTTTTGGACCCTGGACCATATGCAGCTTACCTGGTTTGAAGATTACATAAAGTTGTTTCTACCATGATGATATCAAACTAGTTTTATGACCACACCACTATTCTACCACTTTAGGATTAGTATTGGTATCATAATGCATAAAATACCCAAATGGTCATGAGACCTACAAAAAAGGGAAGGTTCTAATATTCTTAAAGCCTTTTCAAGTTGTTGGGTTTTAGTCATTTTCTGTGTGCCCAGCCATCCACGAAGCTGCTTGAGGTCTTAGAAAGTAATCAAAAAGGATAAAGAAAGAAGAGGAAATGATCTATGCGCATCATCTTCTTTTTCTTTGAGATGGGATTGCAGCTTGCTGGCCTTCGTAATCATGAGTCTTGTGCCATCATTGCTATGAAAAGTCTCTCTCTCTCTCTATCCATTCACACATACAAACACAGTACATATACGGCTATATAACTCATCCTTTGCTCACTTTACATTCATCAGATTCCATACCCTTAATCTAAAAACACTTCAAGAGTTCCTACCATTCATCTCTTTTCCAAAGACTCTCTCTCTCTCTCTCTCTCTCTCTCTCTCTCTAGCTGATATCCTTGGTGGAACTACACACAAAATGTGTGTGATCATCTCAGACTGGGATTTCCTTCATACTTTTTATGCTACTGTTCGTCGGAGACAGCAGTCCAGAAGGCGTAATATCCGAGTTCACCGGCTAGATAGGTAAGTCCTTTGCAACACATCTCTCTCTCTCTCTCTTTCTCTCTCTCTCTCAAACAATGGTTTCATACTACAGAAGGAGAAGATTATCCAAAGGAACAAAGGAAAAGGCAAGGATGGGCATGTTTAAGACAGAGATGAAGATCAAGAACTTCAGACTGTACATGGAGAACAAAAGCATTATGGAAGAGAACAAGAGGCTGAGAAATAAAGCTCATTTGCTTCACCAAGAGAACAAAGCCTTGCTGTCTCAACTCCAAAAAGTCTCTGAGGATCCTCACAACCACTTTGGTCATCATAACGAACAGTAACATCAAGATCAACATATATCATTTTGGATAAGAAAAAAAACAGAAAGTCCAAAATGTAAGGCTAGCTACTAGTACTGCCCTTCAATCTTCTTGATAGAAAATTGTTAGCTCTTTCTATTAATTACAACCCCCCAGCCCCCCGGAACCCTGCATGACTATATTTGTTCATCTCAATCTTTATGATGGAGAAAAATAAGTCTAAACGGATCTTAATCCCCTTCATGACTTGTACTTCAATTCAATTATAAGAAGTCTTGAAGTTACATAGTTTTATAATCTTATCAGTCTTCTTTTTTTTTCACATTTTTGTACCTGAGAGAGAGAGAGAGAGTTGAAAGGAAGAATTCCCTTTTTGGGAGTTAATAACAAATCCAAAATCCAAATAAAGCCTTTTACAGAAAACATTGAGATGGAATGTCCAATAGGATTAACATAATGCAGCACAAATAGTATATTTAAACTAAAATATTTATGTGGAATGATCTAATCCACTAGTGCCCTTTTATTTCAAAATAAAATAAAATAAAATTAAAGAGCATTAATCTGCTTTTATGGCTATTTTTATTAAAAAATTCTGTTTTATGAAAAATATAAGCAACCTCATTGGCCAAGAATGCAACAAGTAGGACGCTAGCCATTTCAAAAAAGAATTAAGGGAAGCAACCTTAATGGAAAGATCATAAGATGAGACAATTTTGCTATGAAACCTTACATGTCATACGCAGTTCCTTACCCAACGTATTGAAGGGATCAACTTACCCTACTCCCCTTGCTGTTCACCATTAGTCTTTGTTTTTTTTCGCCGTTCACTTGCATGGTGACCTCACCTGCATCGATCAGACCTCAAGAAAATCTGAATTAATGCTACTATGTCAGGGGGGGAAAAAAAGACCAAAAGAAAAGGAAATGGGGAGATTTTGAAAAAGCTGCAAGTGTTTACCTTCAGGCGCTTACATTTTGATACAAAAAAGACACTCACATTGGCTCCTCTCACTTGGTACAAACTATCGGCGTTTGTAAGAACATGGTCATCAAAACTAACTTTGCTGCAAAATTATTTGCCGCGTAACTGAGACATACCAAAAAAATCGTTGAATCAACCAAGAAAAAGGTCATACTCATTGATCAAATGCTGAAAAACAAAATCAAAAGCATCAGGAGGGGGGGGGGGGGGGGGGNGGGGGGGGGGGGGGGGGGGGGGGGGGGGGGGGGGGGGGGGGGGGGGGGGGGGGGGGGGGGGGGGGGGGGGGGGGGGGGGGGGGGGGGGGGGGGGGGGGGGGGGGGGGGGGGGGGGGGGGGGGGGGGGGGGGGGGGGGGGGGGGGGGGGGGGGGGGGGGGGGGGGGGGGGGGGGGGGGGGGGGGGGGGGGGGGGGGGGGGGGGGGGGGGGGGGGGGGGGGGGGGGGGGGGGGGGGGGGGGGGGGGGGGGGGGGGGGGGGGGGGGGGGGGGGGGGGGGGGGGGGGGGGGGGGGGGGGGGGGGGGGGGGGGGGGGGGGGGGGGGGGGGGGGGGGGGGGGGGGGGGGGGGGGGGGGGGGGGGGGGGGGGGGGGGGGGGGGGGGGGGGGGGGGGGGGGGGGAGGGGGGGGGGGGGGGGGGGGGGGGGGGGGGGAAGAAGAAAGAGACAGATAAAAGCCAATATATCTCGACAGTGCATAACTGGAAGTCAAAATTCGCAAAGCTACAAAACAACTAGTAAGCACCATATATGGATAGCAATAATTTACAAGTAGGTATCCTCAACATTAAAGTAGCACGAGAAGAAGCATTATTTACTGTCTCAAAACTCAAAAGTATTCATAAATAGCAATGAATAATAAAATCTTAGCTCTCACACATGGAGGACTATCAACTAATACCGATTCACCAAAATAAAGTCTTCATGACCCAGAACCTGAACATCCGTCTCTCCTACAAAATTCTCCCGTCCTATTTCTTTCACTAAATTCACAAACTCCACCCTCTTGGCCAAAGGGAGTGGTACGTATGGGAGTCGGAAAACAGGCCTCACAACCCCAAGCTGAGCAAGAGCTGTGTTTAAGCCAATCGGGTTTGGCTCATGAAAGAGCCAGTCAATCAGAGGCATGAGCTTTGAATTCAAAGATGGGTTCTTTCCCCCGAACATAAGTTGTCGCATTAAACCTGGAACCAAGTTGCTGGTAACAGATATCACTCCAGTAGCACCATAATCCCACCTTGAATCATGACACTCATCATCATTCCCGCTCCACACAACAATCCCCTTGTTTGTATACTGTGCCACCCGGTCATTTCCGACACACTCCTTAACACCTGCAAAGTTGGCATTCTGTGCCAGAGCATCAATGACGCGTGGCTGAATATCTTGACCAGTTCGTGATGGCACATTGTAAACGATGGTAGGACCCATATGGAATACGCTGTCAAAATGAGAAACCAAGCCCTCTAATGAGGTTTTGCCATAGTAAGGATTGATGTGAAGGGCTGCATGCATTCCCACTGCAAAACCCTGTTCAGTGGCATTGATTGCTTCTTTTGTGGAGTTACTTCCCGTGTTTCCAATGACCTTGATCGATCCACCAAAGAAGCCAACTGTGTGACCGATTAGCATGATGTGTTCCGGCCAGTCCATCAACTGGCCTTCACCAGTAGTGCCACCAACAATGACAGCCTCAACTCCATTTTCAATCTGCATGTTCACCAAGGCATCATATGCCTCAAGATCAAATCTTCCATCTGGTAGATATGGGGTTTTTATGGCAGTTATCAATCTCAGGGACTTTATGTCCTCTACAGAAGTCCTGCATACATAAGAAAAACAAAGGTGCTCAAGTTTGAAAAACAGAACATGTAATTGAAGAACATGCTAGAGTTGACTTGACCTACAACCAATATTTGACTGATTCATCCTCCATAGGAGATGGTGGTGTTTTCTAACAGCTCTACATAGTTCAACAACGTGTTTGGATCCAAGTATTTTCTTTGGCTTCGGGCATGGAGAAGTAAGAATTTACTCACTTCACAAAAGAGAAATCCAATTCTCTCTTAAATGCAAAGACCAAAATAAGAAAGGTTCAAAGAAAAAAAGAGAAAGTATAGAAATCCTAGCTTACCTGTTTTTAACTTCAAAACTACTCATTGGAAGATGAAGGTTAGTAATTATGGCAGCTTTTGGTAACCTCCATGTTGCACTCTTCCTGCTATGGCAACATAAGGTGGCATTAGAATAGAAATTAGGAAGAATAAGCTGACAGTAGCAAGAAGTGCATTGTCATTCCGTTTTGCAGTTGCTAACATTTAAAGAGCATTTTTTAACTTCAAAATTATGTTGATTAGCAACAGCCAGGAGCAAATTTTTTTTCACTATGATGTTACAAGCAAGCAAATGATAAAATATTTGTCTGAAACAAGTAATATTGATACATGGCCTGATTGGTATGCCACTTAAACAAGGTTAAAAGCAATGCCAGGCGGAGACCACCAACAAAATCTACATACGCTTATCATTCTCTGCAGGGATGAACTAGAGTGGTACTACAGACTAAAGAGAAATTAGACATTATAGTCAGGAACCTTCGCTACCGTCAAATAATTGAACACATGACCTGCTGAAATATTGTTTTAAATTTCAATGCTATTGGGAAGACGGAATAAGGTGGAAGGAGATGGGCGAGGCAGGATCCATAGCCTTTCTACAGCACGCCACATAATGAACCAAACGTGGCGCCACCCATATCTATTCACCCCCATCAATGGCATCCACTACATCATTGTGAAGGGGCAAATGGGCTAGTCCCTGCTCTTTCCATCCATTCATACATCTGTTCAGGAAAAGTTATCATTTGTACTTTGTCATACCATTAGGACCATGTAAGTCCTCAATCCACCCATAATTGGAGTAATAATTCTCTATATTTGTTGAAGAATAAGTCTTTCATCATGACATTTTCATCGCACTTAACAATTGTGTCACTTGCTATCAGAGCCCGGGCACAGGCAGAGTGAAATTTTGAAAAATTTTAGGGTTAGTTTAAAATTATAATAAAAATTAAATTTTCTAATAACTTGCCCCCACTCATTTTTTTAATGAACTAAAAACTTAAACTCAAGGTTTGCTCATACTGGCTTAATCTCACAATTTTTTATTTAGTCTCTAGTTATCTCTATTTCTTATGCAATGACTCACTTAAGTTACCAAATCAATCCTTCTCCGAATTCAATTACTAAGACATAGATTAATATTTTTGACCAATTGTCCAAATTTGAATATGCTACATCATATTCTAAGATTTTAGATTTGGGCATAAAAAAATTTGATCTAATTATGATTCCATTCAATTCACTTCGATTCAATTTGATATGCATACACAAATATGTATATGTAAACATTTGATGAAACTAAGCGATGAAATTCAATTAAAATTACAATACGATACACATATATATATAAGATTGGATTTTTTATAAAATTCATAATATTTAATGAATTTCGAATATAGATTATAAAAATGAATTCAATTGAATAATTAGATTAGATTCAAAATAAGATTTTCAAGATAAATTATCATTCGGATGAGTTAAAATCTTATCATTGACAAGGACACGCACAAAATGATGTGTCAAAATAACATTCTTTATGAAAATTATCTTTATTCTAATACTTTATACAAAAAAAAAATTATATTAGTTTTTCTTTGTCAAGTCCTGTAACTTTTTCACGTGTATTTATACGTGAAATCTTTGAAAGGAAAAAAAAAATAATAATATAAATAATTATTAACAAGAACAAATTTCAGTTAATAAATTCAACTGAAATTCAACAAATACAAATTTCCAAAAAAAGTGAAAGGCAATCAGACAAAACTAACAAGAACAAACATCAGACTAAATTAATTTATATATTCAATTAATAAAAGAATAAAGAAAATAAAACCTCCTGTAGCTATTGACGCAATTAGGAAGCGTAAATGCAGAGTCCTTTTGATACGAGCTGTAGTTCTTGAAAGCAGACAAATCTTGAAACGCAACCGCCATTTTCGGATGTTCAGAAGGTAAGATAATAATATATGGATTCAAAATTATAAGAGACTTGTCTGAGGATTATCTGGATACTGTTGAAATTTCAACGAATTGTTATGGTGTTGATTAGTATAATCGCGGTAATAGTGGTGGATGTGGCGGTGTTGGAGGTGGTAGTATGGTGGAGGTTGGCGGAGAAATGGGCTGGTAGGTTGAACATGGTTTCAGATGTCGACGAGACGAGGGTTGTGAAGCAATATTCCATGCTCACCATTATGTGGTACTTAACACCAATCAAAACTAACCACGTCAAAATAAGTCAAAAAAACTAGCATCTCGTCAAAATAGACTGAATGAGTTGACGGAGGTAACGGAGGTACATTCCGTTTTCTCTCTCTTGCTCCAAAATTTATGATGAATTCACTCTCAAATTACGAATTAATGCATGGAGCTGGAAAGTGTGGGTGTATAGACAAATAGTATGACTCTGGATAAGAGAGTGGAAGAGAGTCATGATGGGGCGACGACGACAGGATGATGTAAATGACATGGTAGCGACGATTGTGAAGTAGTGGCGAGAATTAGACAGTGACAGTGGAGTTGCTAAGAGGAAGCAAAATTTTAGAAAAAGGCTTATTTGAATTTATCAAATAATTTGATAAAATTCAGAATATATTAAACAATTTACACACTAAAAAATTCACCATTTTGTAAACAGTAACACTAGATTGAACAAATTTTTGGACCAATTTTAGAGTTCAAATGACATGACAGTTGATTTGAGTTTTTTTGATTGATGTTATGTCATTTGGGTCTCAATAAAAACTTCAAATAATCAACTGCCATGTCATTTGAACTCTAAATTTGATCAATTTAGCATTATTCTTTTCTAAAATGTATACAACACCACTCCTTATTTCTCTCTTAATCACTGCAAAACTTTCACTCTAATGGCACTTAATCATACTTAACATCCAAAAACCACTATATACATTTATGTCCATTACTATAACATCCAAACTCTCCAACATAACAACACTTAACAATAATTAATCATTTATAATCACTTTATAATTTTTTTTTACTCTCGTTCCACTTCCTGAAGGTACGAAGTAATAAAAAAATAGTCAATAATAAACATATTTATATTCTCACACCTAAATCAAATTATAAAAATAGAGAAAAGAAAAAATAATTTAAATATCAGTTATAGTGGGCGCGAGTGGCGGCAATGTTGGCGGTGGGAGACGGTTATGGTTTGTGGTGGATGATAACGATCGTTGGTGATGGTGGTAGTCATGGGGGTGACAATAGTGGTGGTAGGGGGTGATGGTGGGCCAACGGTAGTGGTGGTAGGGGGTGGCTGCGACGGTGATGATGATTGGGGTGATGGTAGTGGTGAGTGGCAACGATAATGGTGGTGGGGGGCGATGGGAGTGGCGGTGGTAATGATTGTTGTTGTTTTGTGGCAGAGATGGTGGTTGAGTGACAATGACAGTGGTGGTGGTGGTGGGGGTAGTTGTGGTAATGGTAATGGCAGTGAGGGGTGGCGGTGAAGTGAGGACCACAGCGGGTAATGTGGTGATTGTTGTTGTGGCAGAGATGATGGTGGTGGGGGGCGATGGGAGTGGCGGTGGTAATGATTGTTGTTGTTTTTGTGGGAGAGATGGTGGTTGAGTGACAATGACATTGGTGGTGGTGGTGGGGATAGTTTGTGGTAATGGTAATAGCAGTGAGGGGTGGCGGTGAAGTGAGGACCACAGCGGGTAATGTGGTGATTGTTTGTTGTGGCAGAGATGATGGTGGTGGTGGTGGTGGGGCAATGGGGGCGGTGGTGACGGTAGTAGTAATGGTGGTAGGGGCGGTGATGGTGATGGAGTGACAGTGGCGACAATAGTGGTGGTGGTTGTTGTTGTGGCAGAGATGGTGGTGGTGGGACGAGTTTAAATACTACTTTTTAAAAAAAAAATATTTATGAGAAGTTATAAGTTTTAAAAACACTTTTAAAAAATTATCACAAACACACCCTTAATAGTCTATTTTTCCTATTAAATTTGAGGTGTTAATATTAATTATTAGATTAACTTTAAAACAAAAGTTAAAGAGATCTCAATCGCGAAAAGTAAAGTGACAGTGGTAATGATGGTTGTTGTTTGTGGCAGAGATAGTGGTGGAGTGACGGTGATGATGGTGGGGCGGTAGGGGTGGGGGTAGTGGTAATGGCGGTGAGGGTGGCGGTGAAGTGAGGACCACAACGGGTAATGTGGTGATTGTTGCTGTGGCAAAGATGGTGGTGGTGGTGGGGCAATTGGGGGGGG